GCCTTGTGTCTAACCATGGATGCTTTTGAGCATAAGCAAACACAAGAAAGGAGTCACACCAGAACAAATAAGTCATTCTTGAGGGGGGAGGGTTGGTGGGGTTTTTTTATGCCCTTTTAGAACTGTGATGTGCAGGTTATGTACAATATTGGGCTCCAGCACCATCTGGGTTTTTTCCTTCAGCTTCCAGTTTTCCATTGCTGCTCATTCTCCCTAAGAATGAAATAAATGGGCAGGGTGGCTTAAAAGGGGAGGGAAGGGGAAATGGAGAGGAAATACCTGAGAAATAAGCCCACAGTGGAGCTTAGTGGCTGCCAATCTGCCTTTACTTAATGTCATAATTTGTAGAAACATGATGCTGCCATCTCCTCTACTCTTTCAGGGACTTGGCCTTATCTTCCTCCTCCTTATTAAAGCTAAAGACTATCAATCAGTTTATTTTGCTTTCATTCTGGTCAGGTATATTCTCTTCTACGCATTTATGTATTAATTGCTTTGAAAGCAGCAGGTAGGAGTAAGGAGCATATTCCAGTCAAGATTTAAATGTCTGAAATTGTTCAATAATGAATAGTGGAGGCACTAATCTACAATTTGCAAGATACTGTGGGAAGTTAGTGCTGCTGATGTTGAATGCCTCAGCACATGTCAAAGAGGGGTAGCTGTGAATGGATCTTTGTATCAAGAGCAGAATGGAAATGGTTAGAAAACTTGGCTGAGAAGCTTCTGTTCAGCCTTCCAGGTAGAAATGGTTTGGGGTCACAAATCTTCTTACTTACTGTGGAGAAAATAACTGGAAACATAATTTTTTGTTGTGTATGCTGGAATCCCGTAGGCACAAATATCTATCTACTTCCTTGTCCACATAGGTTCCTGTTAAAGAATAGTTTTCTGGCAGTGTGCTTCCTTTCGCAGTGTGCAGTGACAAATTGTGTTAGAGATTTTACTAATGTCTTTGTATAAGGAACACACACTTGAGAGCTGGGAGACATCTAGACTGTAATTTGTAATGAATATATCCAGCGTTTAGTCTGTTTAGATGTATTTTGTTGTTTTATCAGAGTTGCCATTCAAGCTAGAGATCTAAATGCTTGGCATTTCTCTCCCAAATCATGCAGCATGTGCCACAGCCACCCAAATTTCTCATCTTTTCAAGGCTGTCATGTGCTATGAGTTTGCATTATGTCTGTTCTGGAATTTGGGGTGTTGTAGAGAGGAAAAGCCTAAAATTTAAGTCTGAAGAATCAAAACTCTCCTTTGATGTGCTGTTTGGACATAGAGCACAAGCCTATTTCAGGTCTGCAGCTGTGGTTGTAGGTGGAGCTAACCTGCCCTTAGGAAGCCATGACAGATGACTTGGATAAAGTGCAGCATCATGTATGCAAGCTGCTCAGTGGATACAAAATTTAACATCATTCAGAAACATTTACTTTTTCTGTTTGACAAACTCCCACATATTCCTTGGAATGTATTTTAGGTGCTCTGCAGAAAGCATTCCCATGGCCTGTTTGAGGCATATCCTGGTATGTCCTGAAGGACCCTAGAATATGCCAGATGGGCTTCATAGCCAAGGCAGAGCAGCCATGCTCCTGGAGAGGTCTGGCAGACAGTATTTCCCTGTCACTGCTGGACATCGGTTCTGCCCACTCTGATTTATGGAAGTGGCAAAGTGCTTTTCATAGATCATGCATGAGCTTACGGCATTCATGATTTCTTAACATTTCCAAAATGGAATTACCTTCAAGATTTATGGGAGCTAAATATCCTCTAATTTACTCCTTTTTTCCCCATATGGATATAATATTTCCCCCAAAACTGTTCCTCCCCCCTCTTAAATGAAGCAGAAGTATGAATCAAAAATCAGTTTCCCTACCTGTGTGTACATTAGCGTTAAATATAACAATAGGTGGTCCAAGGCTATATTGTGTTCTTTGCTAAAAAAAAAATCCTTAAGTGTACTTGTAGTAAATACAGTAAAAAGGCCAGTGGTCACTTCACCCCTCTTTTTGGACATCACTTTGGTCCCCTGGTCATCAGATGCAGAAGGGACACCACAGAGCATGAGATCAGTCCTGCTAGTGCTTCACGTGATCTGGGGGACTCCAGGGAGTCCCAGGAGGATCTGACTTTCCTTCTAGTTTAACCAGGCACGTTGTGAGGGGGAATCTGCGTTAGGGACAGACACTCCATACTCCATAGGACAATAAACTAGCTTATTCTGCTGTCTGACTTGCAAACAGGAGAGTTAATTGCATCTATAAATAATACCAACTTCTGAGTTGAGTTAGGCCTCACCTTACAGCATGTACCACCTTTCTCATGCTCTTTGAAAAGGTGAACTGTCTACATTTTTTTTATTTACATTGCACTACTTTGTAGCAGTATTGTGGGGAATCTTCTTGATTCTTGAGAGGAGAATGAAACTTGTTCATATATATATTTTCTGATCCAAGTTCTTCCTGAAGACCACATGTCACAGCAGCAACCAGAGCAGCATTGTGACCTAACAAACCAGCCCAAAGGTGCTGGTCACCCCCAGGCCTTACAATCATTCTTCATTGCAGCTGCTGCTTAGGGAGAAAGGGGAACGTTCTGTGGGGCCTGGCTTCTGGCCTGTGCTATTATTTCAAGTGGTAGCTGTAAAGGAAGAGCTGTGAACATCTGTGCTGTAGCCATTCAGGTTATAAAAGCTCTTGCATTGTAGGAGAATCCTTCAAAGATTCCTCATATTGATTCTGGAAGAAGGTGGAGATAAGTCATAGAATCATAGAATAGTTAGGGTTGGAAAGGACCCTGAGATCATCAAGTTCCTATCCCCCTGCCATGGGCAGGAGCACCTCACACTAAACCTTATCACCCAAGGCTCTGTCCAGCCTGGCCTTGAACACAGCCAGGGATGGAGCATTCACAACCTCCCTGGTCAACCTATTCCAGTGCTTCATCACCCTTACAGTAAAGAACTTCCTCCTTATATCTAATCTAAACTTCCCGTGTTTAAGTTTTAACCCCTTCTCCTATCACTACAGCCCCTAATGAAGGGTCCCTCCTCAGCATCCCTATAGGACCCCTTCAGATACTGGAAGGCTGCTATGAGGTCTCTGCGCAGCCTTCTCTTCTCCAGGCTGAACAGCCCCAACTTTCTCAGCCTGTCTTCATACAGGAGGTGCTCCAGTCCCCTGATCATCCTTGTGGCCCTCCTTGGAGACCCCTGAGTATAACAAAATGCTTATACTTAAGTGCAGCAAGGTGCTTGAAAAAATGCTGAACAAATTTGTCAGGTTATTGAAGTTTTTAGGATATTTTCAGACTATTATTGTATCCTGGGGTTGGTTTGTTTGTTGTTTGTTTTGGTTTTAAATAGACCTTCAGGTATTGGTGGTTTTACTTAAGATCGTCAGGAGCTCAAATATATTTAACGCATCTTTCCCACTTTTTCCCAGGCAAATCTACATAGATCCTTTAGTATCCTCAGCTCTGGAAAACATTTCTTTCCTTCTGGATCAGCTATGTAATCTGTTCATCCTGCCCTTACAGTTATAGATGATCTTATTAAAGATTGCATGAGTGGATGTGAAGTGCTATGCATGGCTGGCTTTGAGTCTTCTTATTTTGTTAAATACCGTTGGTCTTTCTTTCCCCTCCCAAGCTCTGATTTACTGGGCATCTGTGATAGAACTATACTTCAAGCAGTTTGTAGTTTGGAATTTATTCCATCTTTTCGTCACTGTGCTGCTGTCTGAATTTGTTGCTCTGTACTTGGCTGTGGCGTAGTGCAGATGAGTTTATCTTAAATCAGGTAGTTCAAGTCCAAAAGTTATCTGATTGCAGTACCATGGAGTTGCACACTCAGTGCAAAAACAGCCTCAAGGGAGGGTTAAATCAATGCATTACATCTATCCTGTTATAGTACCTAGGTTAGTCAGGCTGTCCTTATTTTAGACACCTGTACCTTGCACTTGCAGTGTGGTTGTAGTGGAGATGTACTCTCTGGCTCTGAACATGCAGTAAGTACATTCCTTTCTTCATTTTCATAGCACAGTGTGATTGATTTTGATCCAGAGCATCCCTCCTACTGTTTTGATATGATTGAATGAACATAGTATTAGCATATTTTCTAGCAATGATCTTCGTACTCGAAAATGATTCCATATGAAAGTTGATATTTTTGCAGTTTCTCTTGCGAATCATTTCCTTCTATCTGGCCACTGTACTAATTGTTTCTAGAAAAGACACATTTTTAGTAGCTGCTGTGTTTGTCTGTTGAGGGTGTAATTAGGATAATGTATTCTCATAATGACATGGTTAAGAAGGACTAGTTCTCTTCCTTTGTAAGTGATTTTGGATAAATCACAACTGTTTGGTTTGGCAAGGACCTCTCTTGAGTCATTTATATGTTAATGAATGCAGAAGAAAACACCTACATCTGTACTGAATTTCCCTTCTCTGTAAACTGAGTGCTGCATCATGATCTCCTGAAATGTTTCCTTTCTTGCGTGTGTTACAGTGACTGCTCTGTGAGTGCATGATTGAGGCAGAAGCAGCCATGAGAGCAGATAACCCCAGCCTTGCTCTCCACATGCATTCACACCTGCGCAGAGCAGCACACATGTATGCAATCAACAATATAAAGGCAACTCCACACCCCTTCCTCAGATATTCTTATAGACAGCACATAAATTGGCTTGTTCTCACAAATCTGAAAGTTAAATGGCCTAAACTCTGGTTGCAATTTACAACTTACTGTATCTAAATGAATAGCCAGACAATAGTGGAGAAGTTCTAAGTTGTTGAGTGGAAGTGATTGCCAGGCTCACAACTTGAGTGATTTGGGTATCCTCATGGCACAAATCCTGACAGATTTCTTGAGTAAAAGTAAAATCCTTCATATTTTTGCCAATGAGAATGTAGAATCAGCACTTAGGAATGGATTCTCTCAACCTCCCTACAGAAATTTATCCTTTATACTTCGGGAGTTAATTTCTCTCTCATTTTGGTTTTCTCAGGTTCTCGAAGCCGGCACCAATGTTCTTGGATGATTCCTTCAGGAAATGGGCTCGTATCAGGGACTTTGTACCCCCCTTTGGAATTAAAGGACAAGGTATGAGAAAACTGTGAAGTTCTTGGAAAAGAAGGTAGTTTTGCAGATACTTGCCCCATCTTGTTCTTCCATTTTGAAAGTACAGGTGGTCCTTTTGGCTCGGGTTTTTTCCCCTGTTTGAGAGAAATATTGTACATGTAGCTCTCAGAAACACAGAAGGGTTTTCGCAGCTGGAACATAGACCTCAGAGGCTGGTCTTAGGGGTAATGATTACATGGGGAGAATCAGTGCAGCAATGGTAATTTAGGCCTACCACCACATTCTGGCAGAAGCATTTTGACTCTGACTGCCGTAGCATCTTTGCTGACTGCAACAGAAAGTCCAAACTGATTTAAAGTACTGTTAAATCAGTAATTCTCTAAAAAAGAGGAAGGACTCCTCTTCCTGAGTTTTGGAGCCTTAGGTTTGACCACTGATACAAACCTTCATTTTTTTTTTTTTTTATAGCATTTGGTCATGTAATTATTTTATAGTTGTGCTATTTGTTGACTTGTATAACAAATAGGAAAAATCTGTTCAGATGCTTTGATGATGACTTGTAATATGCCCTGTCCTCTGGGGACTGGACTTGTCTGAAGTGTGGCAGCAAGGTCTGTGTCTCAAGTATGCCATGGGGAGAGCATGAGTGGTGCTGGTAGTGATGAGGTGGGAGCCAGTAGACCACCCAGCAGAAGATATGTTTTGCAGGTGCTACCAGTGGCCTCTCTGAGTGAGTGTAGTGGTGGAGGAGAAGGCTTATGTTCACTGCAGTGAACTGCTGCAGACTTCCTGAAGTCTGATATATTTATTGAAAAGTGCTCATGGCATTGCATCAACCTCCAAGGTTTTTTTCCCAGTGACACATTCAAGATTACAGATGGCCCCCATGGGAATTTAAATACCTGCTAGAGAAAGAACTGCAGCCACAGTAGGCTTGGGTCTGTATCTCTCCCTGGAAGCAGGTGTTGTCAGAACAATCTCTGATCAAATCAAAGGATCTACTGACAAATTTCTCTTGGCTTGCATCAATTCCCTTCTTTGTTTTGTGTATGTCCTTTCCTTGTCCAGTCAGTCTTTCGCAGCTCAATAGGCAACTAATTGCTGTCCTCTAAATCAGCCAGCAGTTTGCAACAGGGAAATAACAGTGGCAGCACAAGTGGAAGGCTGTGTTGGCCATAGCTGGGCTTGTGCCCTTCTAGGAGACACGCAAGGTGTACAAAGCTAGGGCAAGCTGCCTGACCAACATGGAGGTGGGATTTGCAGATTAAAGATGATGTCAGCTAGACCTAATAAAAATCATTCTGTTAAACTGAATCCAAATGGAGAAATTCACCAAAAGGGGATGACGGAATGGCTCTGGCAGCCTTCTCCCTGGGTTTGGTGCCAGCTTGTATCACCACCGCAATGTTATGTAAATCTGATGTTTTGTATTGGATTTCCTCAGTTAAAAAGAGAAATGAGAAATTGCCATTATTTAAATGGCTGTGAGCTGAAGCCGTGGGATGGAAACCGTTGAATGGGTTATTTTTTTTAATGCCCTCCTGGGACTGAATTTTGTGCCAAGTTTAAGTCTGGAGCAAGTTCTGTGTGTGGGAGGGTTGAATTATAAATCTCTGTAGCCCAGGATTTCTAATGGCTGTGCTGACAGGCTGTGAGTCCTAGTGATGCGAATGGCGCCCTTTCATGTTACACATCACTTGGAATTCTTGCATCAGTCTTTTCTGGCTGTCCCACGGGATGCATTCGGGCTCAGCTGAGTGATTGGATGATGGGATCAGCACCTCATTAGGGCTTTCAGTCAGGGCAATCTAATGATATCCAAACAACTGATCCAGGCAGGCAGCATGGAGCTCAGTCACGTGCTGGTGCGAGATGAAGACTATCAGAGCTGAGATGTGCATGGGAAAAAGAGTAGTCAGGGTGGCTGAGAAAGTGTAGCAAGATGCCTGTGTTGAAACAGATGGGGCAGGAGTTCTTCTTTGTGCATTATGAAGCCCCGTGACACCATCAGCTGGGATTTCTGACGTGCATCATACTGGGAAAGGCAGTCGGTGTTTATAGATACTGACTGCAGCTGGGTTGGTAATAGGAAGATTACCCTGAGAACTGCAGAGAATATCACCCAGTGTTTTTGAGACACTGTGATCTAGTCCAAGTGCAAAATGGACTTTTTTTTCTTTTTGTGTGTGTGTGAAATAGGGCTAAAAGATGAGGTCACTTTCAGCAATGATGCATGTTCCAAGAAACTTCTAGAAACTTATCTGTGGTAGCTTGAAAACGCTAAAGTTATGAAATCAAGAATTTCTTGAGAGCTCAGAGACTAATACACCATTTCTGCTTTCCTTGTTAAAGTTTCTCTCTGTTCTTCAGACTTTCAGCTAATTTTTCCTTTGCTTTGTCTCTGAAAAAAAAATGAGATAAATCCTTTTTCATCCATCATTTGCTGTTTACTGGTCCAAGAAAGAAAATTTCAAGATTGCAATCTTTAGGGGAAAACAGCTTTTGAGGAGCATTGTCTACTGAGCTGCACTAATTTGGAGTAACACGTCTGTATAAATTACATGTAAAAGAGTAGAAGTGGCTCAGAAATTTTCAGGGCAGGTCTACTGCTGTTTAAAGGTGATCTTATCGAGGAGAAGGCAGCGCGCTGATCGTTTTGACGCAGTTCATCAGGGATCTTCATGTTCTTCAAAAATAATGTGATTGTAAAGACAGTTATTCCATCTTCAGATGCTTAAAAGTACTCAATATAACATAGAAAGCTTAACAATGTTTCTTCATAAAAGAATGATTCCTGCTTTTGTCCACTGGTCATTTTCTGGTTTGGCCATTAGCCCATGCTGTGGGGTTTTATGACCAGCATCCTCCACTCTCTCCAAGAGCATTTGCGTGTAAAAGCCCTCAAGGTGAATATGGTTCTGAACATGAAAGTTTTTATAGACTTTGCCCGACACGATGGTGGTTCTGAAACAGACTATTGCTGTAGGAATAACGCACATCTCATAACAGATTGAAAACTGCTGTTATCATTAGTTAACCACTTTAGTGATTACTTGTCTGCTAAAGAAGCGCAGGAATAAGCGTGTGGTGACCCTGCTACTTTATGAGCAGGACTCTCTGAGATGAGGCACATAGTGGGAAGTCTTTTACAAATTCTTTTTGAACAGTGGTCTCTTAGTAACCTCTACAAGGTATTAGAAATAGATGAAGACTGCACTTACTTTAAAAAATGAGATTGTTAGTGCCTCTTTGAGCTTGCTGTCTCCTCTCCTACTATGTGACTTGACAGAATCTGGAAATGGGTTGTGCCACTGTGAGCACTTGGAAATGATAACTCCATCTCTATTAATAAATAAAATGGCTATCCTCTGGTCCTTAAGGCAATTGAGCTCATTGTTCAAACAGGTTCACTCCCTGCCCGCCCCCTCCAAGAGGGTGGCTATATCCAAGCTTCCTATCAAGAAAGGTCACTGGCCTGAATTAGCTTGTGACCTTATGAATGCGTGAGAATTATTGAGGGGAGGATATTTGGCCCTGCTGAAAACCATCAGGGACTGTGCTAATGTTTTAATAGTGCAGGTTCATGTAGAAGAGTGTGGGCCTATGCCCTGCTGCTGATTTGTTTATTAGTGTGTATGTAGCCAGAGCAGGGGGATGTCATTCAGGAACACAATGAAATTAGTCAACCTTAAGTTGTTGAGAAGACCAAACTGTAACAGAAAGTTGGAACTCCAAAAGCTACAAATGTCAAGATGTCCTGTGGGGGACAGCTCAGGCTGCCAAGTAGCCTCCTATGTCCCAGGCTATTGTTTCGGCATTAACTGGGATGTTGGAGTGCCTCTCACATTTCACCATTTGTGAGGGTCTAATTTACTTGTAGGAATTCTTCTCCCCCAGCACCCACCAGGCCTACTTCTGCAGCTTTTACACGTCAGATCAAGGAGACTGCAGCAATCTCAGGCTCTTGAATGAGTTGCATGAAGATTGTTTCCTTTTTATTGAAATTGAAATGTCTTCTTTTGTATTTGCACCCTTTTATAGCAGTGTTTCTATCAGTGTAACTTATGGAGGTATGAATATGCACATGCGGTACATGTTGTTGCAGAGATTGTCTAGCATGTGCACTGCTTTTAGGGTTAAATTTGTCAATGAATAAGAAATGGAAAAATTGTTTATAGCATTACTGAGATTATTAATCCCAGAGGGCCTCCTCCCTGAATTTACCTCTGTAGCTATAGCAAAAGGAAAGAGTTATTAGGAGAAGGACAACAAACAAGACTGGAGAAATACCTGACTATTAATAGAATTTCTCAGTATATGTGGCTTAAAGAATATAAAAGGCTTTTCTAAGGAAAAGTAGCTAGTATCTGGCATCCTCTCTGTGTGATGAGGATGGGAGAGTTGAGTTGCTGCAGCTTTTTTTGAACTTAAGTGAAAACATATGGCACAAAAAAACTGAACAGACATGATCATGTAATATCTATTCCATGCAGTTAGTCAGTCATTGTGTCATTGCTTAGCAGTAATTATAGGTCTTCACTTCTATCTTTGCTCCTTTCAGATTGTTTTAAGCAGAGAGGCCCTGAATCAGTTTGTTATCAATTGTGATATTCATTTCTTAGGGAGTGACTCTCTTATCACCATCTTAAAATGTGCCTCTCACCAGGAATCTAGGAAGCAATTTGTCCCCTGTGGTGATACGAGAATATAAAGAACCGTCTCTGGAATGTGTTCAAAAACTGTATAGATGAGGTCTTTAGTGACATGGTTTAGTGGTGGACTTGACAGTGCTGGGGTAAAGGTTGGACTTGATGATCTTAAAGGTCTTTTCCAACCTAGTTGATTCTATGATTCTGTGTTTAAGTGCTACAGTTTTATCAAACGTAGTATGTACATACTGGCCAGGAGACTTCATCTTTTCATCTGATACAAGAGGGGCATCTGGAAGTGGTGACACATTTGATGACAAAGAAATCAAGTCTTTGCCCAGAGCACCAATGCTAATAGATGCATTGTGCAAT